CGAATACCCAAAGAGTTTGTTCTGCCACTGGAAATTTTACCTGCATAGAAATTATTCCAGTGACTAATAGTGTTACCTGTACCTTATTGCAAGCCTCCTGGAAGTACATAAAGATGTTCAACCAACAGATGTGGTACAGTACTACACCAAAGTGAGATGTATTAGGATATCGATGGACTGTGATTAACACTACACTAGGGACTGTTAAATTTTCATTGCCCTTATCCAGTTTCCAGATCACCTCTACATACCCAAATTGTTCAAAGAGGGCTGCCATTAGATTAACACAACAGAGGGCTTGGGCTATTTCCTCTTAAAAGAAGAGAGACGTGACCGGATCCCTTTGGGATGATGCCAATAGTGCAGCAGCAGTTTGGAATATTTTTAAGAACCAAGAACATGATGAGAAATTGGGGCAACTAGAGAAGACCACTAGCCTTATTTCTGGGGCACAGCTAACCCAGGTACAGGCTGGAGTTGGTGAGTTACATGTTATCTCCGCCCTTAGTTCTATGACCCAGAAGTTGCTGACAGAGATGGTATTGAATATCATTGAGGCTGGGACGGCATTGCAGTGGGATCTAGCATATTCAGAAATTCAGGATTTCCTGAATGACCAGGTAATGGCCATTCGGAATGATCTAGAGCATCAGACTTGGCCCACTGCCCTTACAGACACATCAGGAGTACCATCTGATCTGTGGCCATGGAGACATACTTGGAGACTTTCTGGGTGGAAGTACGGACATTCACAGTGCTCCTTCCAAGCATATGGACCGGTTGGGGGGTTGTGGGCTCCCACATACTGAATCCTGCCGGGTCCATGGGGAGGATGCATGTGGGATTGGGTAATTCACCGAGACATCTGGGAAATTAGACTACCTGGTATGCCCAATCGATTTTTAGTCAGTGCTCCTGGGATTACACCTGACATTTGGATGGGGTTAGGGAGTCAATGGACATTTTGGCCATTAGAACCCCCACAGCTTCAATGTATTCGTAAACTGAAGCCAGGAGAAGTTGTTACTGTTCATGTCTACGTTTGCTGGAAGGATAGGGGACAAGGAACTACCCTGACAAGACACTTACTTTTTTTAAGCTAATGATAGCTGTGTGTATATTAAAACCACCACATTGCAAGACATACATTTTAATCTCATTACCACTGCAGGCAATCATATTATTTACTGGCCTGCAGATAGAATTTTGCAAGTAGCCTTTAGGTTCCAGATACCCTTTAATTGGACTAGTTTAGTGCCTGATCAATTTCAGAATTTGCTTTCACTGTTACCAGAGGTTCAGAGAATCTCTGAAATACAAGGGCAAATTCACACACACATATATATATCAAGTTGAAAAGTATGCCTTTCATACAGCTTATAGAGTGTCCACTTTATGTACTAAGTATGATGCATTGTGCTTTAGGATTAAAACTGTACAACAACCCCATCATATTATTGCTATGGGAATGTTATTGCTTGTGTTGCTATTAGTTAATTTAGGATTATGTTATTGTTGTTGTAAAGGACATAATAATAGTAATACCTTTCATGTCCATGCTCATCATGCATTGTCATTACATCCAATCAAAACACCTAAGGTTGAAGCATCTGATGTAGAATCTGAATTCCAAGACTTAATGCAAATAGAGATTTGAGAAGGTTTGTTGTACTAGTAGTACAAAAGGGGGGGGTTGTGGAAGCAGAGAAAGAACTGACAGGAAGGGGATTGCAATGCATGACAGTTTGTTAGCAAGAGTCAGGCTAACTGTAACCCTAATAATGTGAGATTTGTAGAAGTGAGGAATGTGTGAGGCGAGTGGGAAAGAACTGTGTGAGAAGTTGTTGTGACCTTGTGTAGATAACGTGTAGATAATATGGAATGTAGACTAAGACTCTACATTAGTGAGCAAAACAAGATATCAGAATGACCTATGTATAAACAAAATGCAGCTGTTGCTCACTGTCTGTAACAAAAGGTATAAATGTTTGCTGTAATTATTTACCTGTTGAGAGACCTGTTTATGCAATTGCATAGAGGGAGAGAGCTAAAGAGAAAAAGTATCTGACTTGCTGTACCCAAACAAAAAGTGAGAACTCTGTTATTCTCCGACAGATGTAATAAAACCTCTCTAGCCTGCTCATGGTTTACCTGGTCAGCAGAAGCCGTAGATAAACTTGCCCCCTGCAGTGCTTTGAATGACAACCGTCTCTCCACTCCCCAGCACTGCTGATGAACAGATCAAGCTTTCTGGATTCTCATTACATTGTCTACCTATTCCCAATAGGCACATGCAGTATTGCCAACACTAAGCATTCAAAAATCACAAGTCAGGCCCCAAAGTCATTTAACACACACAAACAGAAAAAGCACACAAACATTTCAGGTTGCCTTTGATGTAAATCCTTATGGTTGATATTTTATGGATTCTCTCTACAACTATGAGGGCTCAAAACTTTCATTTAAAAAAAAATGAAGTCTCTCATATAAAGTCCTAGCTCCTGGATACACAAATACTCTGAGATTTATAATACAAAAGAATGAGAATTGGCTACATTACCCATGTCTATGTTGCAATTTGTGGCACACCTGGGAATGCTTATTGGGGTTTTGTGGAGATGGAGATGGTCTGACAGCCATCTAAGGTTTCTGAAGAGATATTTACATTGGCTTCAATGTATTTAGGACTGAACCCTATGATGTGTCAAAAATTTCAATACTCACCTGCATCATTTCTGATGTTGCCTTTGTTTCAGACTCTGGAATCTGTTTTTCAGTTTCACTTTGGTTATCACTTCTGTATCGATAAGCAAATTTCTTTTTGAGAGCTTCAGCTATTAGTGCTACGGGATCAGTCGGGTCAGGTGATTTGCATTTTGTGCCTTCCACTGGTCTTCAAAGGGAAAGGGAAACTAACAGTCACACAGCAAGTCTTTAGAATGAAGTTAGAGCATCTTTGCATTCCTGTGTTGCCTTTCAAATGCTAGATCAGCAACAGTCCAAAATTCAAATGTTTCTCCATGAAAACAACTGAGTAAGGCTTTACACTTTGCATTAATAAAATTACACAAGTTATTGTGTACTCACCTTTTCACTGCACGCAGTTTGACACTGTTCATGTCTTTGAGGATCTCTAGCATGTTTGGTATTTCAGGCTTCTTTGGACCATTATTTATCGAAGTCTGTCCTGCGTTTATTTTCTTGCCTTTCCGCTCCTTAATGAGATCAATAGCAGACATACTCCGATGTACCCCAGAAGGTGGAAGAGGCGGTGGAGGAGGAGGTGGTGGTGGCGGTGCTGGTGAAGGAGCTGATGCAGTAGGACTTAATCCAGCTAAAACATACCAAGACATTCATTCCCAGTAAGAACTAAATGCCCTTTTAAAGAAAGCTTGGTACATCAAGTGTTTTGAAAAGGAACAGATTTACTGCATATCAATTTATTTTTCCTCAAAAGGTTCTTGTCACAAGACTACTGGCCCGGTTTAAGTCCTAAACCACCTAAAAATGAGAGCATTAAAACCACCTCAGCTAATTACTGTTCCAAAAGGATGTTCAGTTCCCAGTTGAGATACTAACAGCAGATGCACATCCATGTCAAACCTACAAAACTTGTTCAACACCAGGATCTGTTTCCACCAACTCTGCCCCCTTTTGGGGTCTATCAGTATTTCATGATGCTTGGAGATTGCCTTTCAAACTAAGGCCTTGGCTACACTTACCCGCTAGTTCGGCAGCTGGCAATCGAACTTCTTGGTTCGACTTATCGCGTCTAGTCTGGACGCGATAAGTCGAACCCGGAAGTGCTCGCCGTCGACTGCGGTACTCCAGCTCGGCGAGAGGAGTACCGCGGAGTCGACGGGGGAGCCTGCCTGCCGAGTGTGGACCAAGGTAAGTTCGAACTAAGGTACTTCAAACTTCAGCTACGTTAATCACGTAGCTGAAGTTCCGTACCTTAGTTCGAATTAGGGGGTTAGTGTAGACCTGGCCTAAGTTACATTCTTAAGGAAGCCACTGTGGCTGGAAGAAGTCACTGTTTAGAAATAAATTACACACATTAAACAGTTTGGCCAGACAACAGCAATGAATGCATCCCAAGTAAAAATTCCAATTATACTTGTCATTTGTCAAGACAAAATTCTAAATGAAATTGCTTATTGACTGTAATCACAACCCCTATATAAGCAGTAGTTATTTGTGCTAATTATTTTCAGAAATGAAGGACTTCTCACATAAGAGTCTTAAACTTGAATGGCAGAGTTCAAAAAAGTTGTGTGAATCCCAGTTAAAAAGTCTTCACCTTGTTTCTGTTACCACCCCTGTTTTTCTTTGTTTTTTGAAAGCCTTCCTAAGACTCAAGAGCAGAATCTGGCGACTGTCTGAACCAATTAGTTTGTAACAAAAAGCTTAAATTAAAGCTTCTTGCACACTTTAGGTGAATATTAAGTCAGTATTACAGGAGTCACCGAAGATATTACACTGGTCCTGGCAGAGAGAACTTCACAAATGTTTTGTTTCTAAAAAAAAAGACTATGGAATTTTCAGTCACTGACTCTGCTCATGCAAATCGGGACCTTATTTTTATTTAACAAAAATCTTCACCCACCCACCCTTAATCTTAAAAGTGAACCGAACCAAACCAACTATCTGGGACAGACAGATGTATAACGTTGACATATTTAAAGTAGTTGCCATATTCTACCAGAAGAGGGGGGTAAAGGAAAACACTATTTAAACTGAAATCTAGATTGGAAGCCCTCTAATGAAGAGAAGGAAAAATCACACCTACAAAAATATTAATCAAGGACATTTGCTATTTAGGTCATTATTAGCATTATAGCAATTTGGTATGTTTAGAAGTGTGTTAATTTCAAGCTACTGTTGCTTTCAAAAAGGAGGAATGGAACTGAATTATCTTTCAAACTATTTCAGTGCACTGAGTTAATGGCACATATAGTGGTCACATTATTTCCCTATTCACTCACAGATTTGGATACTGAACTACAACCTCTTCAGGAGAGCCAGCATTCATGATATAATGGTTAAAGCCCAGGAGAGAATCAGTATACCTATTCCCAGCTTTCCCATGCACTTGCTAGGTGACTGTGGCCAAGCCACTTAACCTCCGTTGCAGTTTCGCACCCTTCATTCCTATCTGTAAGGGGTACAGAATAGGCCCTACTATCCTTGTGAGCTGCAACAATTCAAGTTTGTAAAGCATGCCAAGTATCTCAGTGGAAGGTGCTATATAATACAAAGTATTGTTGGGGGTCGGAGGGATGCGGACTGAGGTTAGGACATTCACTATCAGGGGCCCTGTATGATTTTTAGCTTCCATCTGAACAGAAATTGGCACTCAAGAGCCTTCCGACCAACATCTGATCCCAAGAATGGCTCCTGTAACGATTCAAGCCTTTCCTCCTGCCCCAAAGCTCTTGTGTGTTATTGCACTGACCGATATGAGCCCATTTTCATGTAGAGGATTTAATTTGTGAACTTCTGCCGCAGAGACAAGGGAGTCAATGGTATTAGAAGCCAATGCTAAGAAATAAGCAGCCACTGTAACAAGTTACAATTCTCTGAAGAGTACCAGGTCTGTTATAAGCTCTGAGAAGATATCACAAGTACTGTGCTTATTTATTCTTAGTCATGTAATAAGCATTGAAGTTTGTTAGAGATTTCTGCTGACAAACATTTCTAGCTACATGTTGTCACTGTTTCATAAGCCATTTGAAATATGTATTGTATTCCAAAAGCATAATTAGTATCTCAGTGACACTAGACCTCATGACGTATCATTACTGACCTCACAAAACTGACTTTAGTATACCTACACGTCGGGCAATCAGTTTTAAAGGAGCAGATTCCTTTTAGCTAATTTGATATGAAAGTGAGAGAGTTTAATACCTGCTGGCAGATTCTGCTGTTCTTGCAAGATTACAATTTTGGCTATTTGTGCCCTTAAACTGGCAAGTTCATTTTCTAGAGCATTAATCTTTTGCAGAGCTTCATCATTCTTGGTCACCACAACCTTGGCGGCTGGCTCTTCTTGTAATAGGTTTGGTAAGGATACTTGTCTACTTGGTGGTCTTCCAGAGCAATATGGTTCATGTGGAAGAGGTGGAGTCGATTTTGACCAAACTTCTGATCTGTAACAAAGCAACACAATTGTCACACGGGACTGGTCTGTAGTAAGTGCTTGTACCAAGCAGCTAAGAGGAGAAAGCAAAACAGTTAAGTGTAAGCATTGAGCCAAACATTAAGACCTGACCTTAAAACCAAACTACTTACTTTTGGCCTTTTAAGAAGAAACCAAAAAACCCTTAAGTAAACATCATCTCCCTCTTCCCACAATGGAATACTTGCAAGTAATGTCTGGCAGAATCTGACTCCTAGATCCCTAAAACCTAAAGTTGAAGTGGCATTGGTTTTAAGTTTTTTTAGGGGGGGAGAAAGGGAATGCTGCCTCAGAAACACTGAGAGCCTAGTAGCACTACAGACATTTATTTACTAGTAATTATGGTATACAAGTTAGATAAGTGACAAAGAGCTTGATATGAACACATTCCACCTTTGGTTTAATAGTGTGATTAAGAGAACAAACATTTAAGCTAAGGCAAGATTCAGGCTAGATATCAGGAAGGGCTTATCATCAAAGTAATTAGCATGTGAATCGGCCTAACAAAATAGTAAATACTACTGTTAAAAGGGACACTATCAAGTTAAGTTAGGCCCAAAATTAAGGTTTGGTAAAAGTAAGCTTTTATTAATAAACCAAGAGAGACCTGTTTTATAAAAGCTTTGTGTGATTAAAAAGCTTTCCAATGGAATTTACACATGTTCCCCTGCAGTGTTTACAACCTGATATTGCAGCACTAATGTACTGCACAATAATTTAAGATGAAAAAGCATACTTAGAATACTTTCAGTTAAATCTGAAGTGTTAAATTACAAGCAAGACAAATTTTAGCAACCCCACGGGTTAGACTAAAAAGTTAGAGATAATAGAGTTTTTGACATTCAGTGTATAAAATAGTCTTATCTAGTCTATTACTCAGCTCTTGGCAGGACAATCTGAAACTCTATAGGTATAAATACCCCTCTACCCCGACATAACGCGACCCGATATACCATGGTAAAGCAGTGCTCCGCAGGGGCGGGGCTGCGCACTCCGGCGGATCAAAGCAAGTTCGATATAACGCAGTTAGTTTTTTTGGCTCCCAAGGACAGCGTTATATCGGGGTAGAGGCATACTAATTTTTCTAGCTCCAATCTGTTTTTCCTTTAAATGCCGTGTGCCAGCAGTTACTTCTAAGTTTTCACATTTATTTGCTTTGATGTTGGAATGAAGCTTCTTTAAAAACTTGCCCATCACTGACAATTTTAGATTTTTTCCACCTCTGAGAATTCTTTTGTATGCAATTTGTTCCCTTTTGAGATGGAATAGCTTTCCATGGTCTACAAAGTCCACTTTCCACCTATACTGTCCCGCTGCATGGACAACCCTAGTTTGATAGATTCTTCAGATTCTTGTTCTCAAATTGTCAACGGGCATGAAGCTTTGCAGCAAAGTTTAATGTTACAACAGCTGTTTAGTAGGAGAATCATGTATCATTATAACAACAACAGGGGAGAAGAGAAGCCTCATGCACTAAAATTTTATTATATATATAGAGAGAGAGAGAGAGTGTGTGTGTGTGTGTGTGTGTGTGTGTGTGTGTGTCTGTCTGTCTGTCTCTGCCTTCATGGCATGAAACCAGTAAAGGAATGAAAACACAGACTATGTTTGCTGCATTCCATCTTGTACCTTGCAAAGAAACCCAGAATATTTTAACACTGTGATATTAAAATATAGGAAGTTTCAAGATCTGAAGTTATCAAATAAGCAGGAAAGCTAGATATCAAGGTACCAGAAATGTTGTTCAAGGCCATAGTACAACTAATGCTAATTACTGAGCTAGAGGATTACAAGAATGAACTAAGATACTGTAGCTGCAGAAGAAATACCCATATATTTAACTAACTCCCACTTGAATTCTTACAATTCCTCAAGCATATCAGGGTATTGGGTTTCTGTGGCACTGCTTCGTCAAACACTGAGGCAAGAATTTTGAATAGAAATATGACTTTTGGAAATACTTCATCTGCAGAATGTGCTTTGAGTTACACAATTCATGGCCCTGGCTTAATCACCGTTTCAGTTGTACTCTTATAGTAGTATTGGCTGCCCAACCAATATATCTGCAGCACTCGCTCCTATTTAAATGGAGAGAACCCATACATGAGATTCTTAGGGTCTTTTGAGGTTAAAAGGGGCCCATTAGGATCTTACCTCCTGCCTAACAGGCCATAGAATTTCACCCACCCAGGGTAACAGGCAAACAAGGTGGAAGTTGCAGGCTTTGCAGCTAGTCCATCCTTCATAGAAAAGTAAATTAACTGCAGACAAAAGAATCCCCAATTGCTGTTTATTGCAATATCTGTAATTCATACTATATTTGTATGTTTATTACTATTGAGAAGTGCTGTATTGACAGCAATGGAAACAACATCCACAGAAGACATACTGCCTACACAGGAGCAGGTGCAGTTTTTTGGGATTCATGGATATCTGTCCACCCAGAGCTGTACTAAGACAAAACACTCCTCCTTTCATTCAGCATTTGAACTGGTGACCTAGAGGTGGGGAGGTTTCAAATCCTATTTACCAGCCATCTGCAAGACCCAGTTCCTGCCTGTTTAATATTATTACTTTGACTTTTGAACTGGGGACCACTACTTTACAGATTGCACATTTTATGTTAATAGTTTTAGGACTGTTCTTATTTTTAAGGTAATGCAAATTAAAATAAATAAATGCTGTATCCTCCCAGGACAGAATGCAGGATTTTCATAGGGTTCCTGGAACCATAAATCCTGGGTAGCAACTTGGATTTATTCCCGAGGACCCTGTCCCCTTGGTTCCCCTCACAGCTTTTAAAGCTTCATTTTGTATTGCAAAAGAACAGTTGAACACTAGCTATGTACAACTGGAATGTGAAGTATTTATTCGACATAATTAATCCATACTGATAAAATATCTGCTTAAGAGTCAACATATCTCAGTGTCGTAGGTGATGAATCTCATTGTCTGGCCTGGGGCTATTATTGCCAAGTTATTTTTACTTCCTTCAGTGCTGACTTAAATCATGCCACTGAATTTTTGAATTAACAGCAGTTTATTCACACAGATTAAATGAGACATTCAATAATACTTCAAATTGATTTGTTTCTTTAAAAAGCTTATTTAAATACTGTTGTAAAGGGGCTTTATATTATAGGTACATTGATGCACAGTAAGTTTATTGAAATGTATTTGTTTCAGTAGAACATTTGGAATTTACCACTTGAAAAATACAGGTCTGAAATGTGACTGTAGCATTCAGTGTACAGGGGAACAAAATGATGTGCAATTTAGTTCTGCAAGGATGTTGTTAAATCTATTTTTGACAGTGTAGATAAAGTTGATCTCATCCTCTGTAAGCGTGTGTATGTATTTACATAGGCATATAAGCCTGCATAGTGGACTACTTGTTAAGAATTTTATGGGAAGTAGATCTTGCAAATAAATATCTTTATTTATGTGGGCTTCTTGGACCAGGGATTGCCCTTATAGAGTGTTTGAAAGCACCTACTAGACATTACTGTAATTAATGTTAAATATTTCACACATACAAGTAACAAGCCAAATTTAAGACCCTGCATAATGAAGTAATTTTTAGAGCTACCCTGTAAACTCATGGTTTGCCATCCAACTATCAACTTCTGAGTTCAAGGATAAGACCACTTTACATGATGATCTTAGTGAGTTCTCCCCAAATAGCAATCTTAACTAACAATACCCAAGTCCCACAACAATCTATAGGTGCTTCCTTGAAGCAAAGAGCTAGTCTTCCCATTGACACTATACAGCTGAATGACTGTATAACTCAGCTCTTACACAGGAGTTGAACAGCCACTCCTTGTGCTGGAATGCACCTATCAAAGGGGATTTAGCTCTGAAAAGTCAAGTTGATGGATTTCTGCTACTCCCTTTTGAGTTACTGAAAACAACAGTGGCTTGCAACCATATTCCTATTATGCAATATTTCACTATAGCAAGTTGTGTTGGAGGGCACTGAGGTCATCACTAAATGCATGCTTTTAAAATAGGTGTCCTTTGGAGGAACCTACTACATCTGTGAATACCAAAGCCATCAATCAGGGCCCTCAGATGCTCCTTACTTAAAGTAAACAGAAACCTTGTCTATTCTAGAAAGCTTATGCCACTGAAGCCTGCACCAGCATGACTAAACCAGTGCAAACTGTAATAATACAGTGTCCACATTAGCCATCTCATTCCAGGTGTATACAAAGCACTATACCCATAAAAACACTCCCTGCCCATTGCAGTAGTACCTGTCCGATAGCTATAGGTGCGGCTCCCTATTCACTGCCTACCCATTTTCATGCTTATAAAAATTAAATACAAAATGCAAGAGTGTGTGTGTGTGTTTGTTTTACAAGTAAAAGTGTCTCTGCTCTGCACTGCAGAGCCTTAACCAGAATGGTCAGTAGAGGTAGGTCAGATATTGTGAGACATCACCAGAAGGATCAATTGCCCTAATGCAGCTTGTTTAGCACTGTGATCCCACAGAGACATGGTTCAGGACCAGCAGCGATAACCCCTGCTCAAGCAAGTGCAGCAACAACAAAAAAACAAGAGTGCTGACAATGGTCCCATATCACAGTGAGAATTTGTGTGGGGACACATCAGTGATATGGGCGCCTGCAATGCTAGAATTATCTAGTGCAGAACCTTCCTTCCCTGGATCAAAGTCCCATATGCGCTCTCAAATTTTGGTCCTTCCATTCATAATCCTGTTAACCCGACTTCAGTTTCTTCCCTCCATTTCCTCCACAATACTGAAATGCTTGCACACCTATAGTGTTAAATACGCTAGATAGCAAGTGCTACGATTTGAGGGGAACCTATGATGAAATCAAGGAGATTTAACAAACATACCTGAGCCTTGTAGAGACTTCACCTTCTTCTTGAGCAACCCATCTCACATCTGCAAAAGAGGCTACTGAGTCTTCTCTGAGCTGCTTAGAATGGTTTCCTTCTGTAGAGTGAGAGGTAACCTAGAATTTTAAAGACAAAATTGCATTTTTTAAAAGTTAATAAGGGATTGTTGCTTTTGAAAGCACTCTCCAACCTATTTTACAGTTGTAAAAGAGTACAATAGCTTGATACTGCATGTAGCTATTAAGAACACACACAAGACACCAGGGATCTTAGTATCCAAAGCCCACTGAAGTCAATAAAAACAAAGAGGAGTCCTTGTGGCACCTTAGAGACTAGCAAATTTATTTGGGTGTAAGCTTTCGTGGACCCACGAAAGCTTATGCCCAAATAAATGCGTTAGTCTCTAAGGTGCCACAAGGACTCCTCTTTGTTTTTGCTGATACAGACTAACACAGCTACCACTCTGAACCTGTCACTGAAGTCAATGACTTCCATAGGCATTGGATCAGGCCCCTTGTTTTTACAGAGATTATTTTTGCTATTTAAAAGGTCACGGCAAGTTTCCTAGGGTACATAACCAGCTTATTTAGCACTATAAAGCCAATGTAAGTTATTTGTTATATAGGAGATAAGCAACAAAGTATTTCACTTGCACAGGCAGTCAAAGTCTACAAACAGTCACCACTCAATTAATTATACTAAATCAAACGTTTTAATAGGGTCACTAGAACTTCCTATTTTGATCAGATTTATTTAATGTAATTTATTTTGAAAGTGAAATATTTTAAGTTAATTATGGTATTCGCCCCTTCCACCTTTCAAAACTGATGTTCTCTCTGCAAATGTCAGGGCTTGAAAGAAGTTAGTATTTACATGCCCACTGCAGAAATTAGAAAACGGAAAACAACTGGCACAAGTGAGCAAGTTACTGATACTTCCCAGTCCAACAAATACAAGTCTTTTCGTACAAGAGGGAGGGAAGAGACGGGAGGGAATGGGAACACGACACTAAGGTTTTAATGAATTGTCTGTCCCTGTGAGCCCCGTACCAAACAAATTCAAACTGCTTATAAAATAGGTTCTGTTGTATTGCCTTATTAAGCTGCGACGTTATAGGTTACTCAATACTATGAGCCTCGCATACAAATATGGAAAGTCAACTGCATCTGCCATTACTTGGTTTTTTAATTCCAATGAAATCCTCCGAGACCACTAGAAAGGAAAGCTACTGCAATAGCTAACCCCTAAGACAGGGGTGGGCAAACTTTTTGGCCCGAAGGCCACATCAGAGTTGCGAAACTGTATGGAGGGCCAGGTAGGAAAGGCTGTGCCCCCCCAAACAAACAGCCTGGCCCCTGCCTCCTATCTGCCCCCTCCCACTTCCTACCCCCTGACTGCCCCCCTTAGAATCCCCCACTCATCCAACCCCCACTGCTCCTTATCCCCTGGCTGCCCCCTCCCAGGATCCCCCACCCCTAACTGCCCCCCCGGGATCCCACCCCCTATCCAACCCCCTGTTCCCTGTCTGCTCCCCCCAGAACCTCCGCCCCATTCAACTGCCCCCTGTCCCCTGACTGCCCGCCGGGACCTCACGCCCCTTATCCAACCTTCCCCCCCCCCCCCACTCCCTTACCATGCTGCTCAGAGCAGCAGGAGCTCACAGCCCCACCACCCGGCTGGAGCCAGCCATGCCACCCATGCTGCCCAACAGGAGCGGCGTGCTAAAGCGCTGGCAGCACAGCGAGGTGAGGCTGTGGGGGAGGGAGGACAGCAGGGGAGGGGCCAGGCCTAGCCTCCCCGGCCAGGAGCTCAAGGGCCAGGCGGAACGGTCCTCTGGGCCGGATGTGGCCCGCAGGCTGTAGTTTGCCCACCTCTGCCCTAAGATATTAAACCCTCAAATAAAAATTTAGGCTATGTCAGTCTCTACTGTTTTAAGATTGGTGGAATAAAAGCTTGTCATGTGGTAAAGCACATATGAACAAGGTAGTAACATATCTCCAACCTGTTTATCAGAAGTTTAAGGTGAAATGAAGACTTGTAGAAAATATGGGTTATGGTTCTTAGCTGGAGTTAAGACACACTGATTATAGGCATGCACTAATGGCTGAAGCAATTAATTAAAAAAATTAACTTACAGCAGGTTCAGAGCATGGTCCTTTCATACTATAGCTAATGCTAGCAGGAAAGAAAAAAGGGAGAGAGATATCTATAGGAAAGTTTCAGCATAGCAACAGTCTCAAAGGAAAACAGTCAAGACAGATGCTGAAAAGAACACTCAGAATTCCATCTTTTGAGTCAAACACATAGAAACCATACTTATGCATCTCTAACATGTTGGACAAGAGCAAAAGGCTTGTATACAGTGCTTTAAACAAACAACTTTAATGGGATTTAAGGTTTAATTTGTTGACTAAAGCTCAGGTATTTACAAGATTTCAAAGTCAGTTCACTAGAACAGCTGTGCTTCTACTTCTTCAGATCATCATCTTTCATTCACTGTATTATCACAATCAGATTTATATACTAAAGATAAATACAAATTTTAAAGTTGACTCCTGAAGTAGTTTATTCTTCAAACTGTCTGGGAAATGCCAAACACTTCATTAATAATAATGCAAAGTCTAGATTGAGATATTAATATTTGATTCATATAAGAAGCACGAAAGTCAAGTTAGGGCTCCTACAGGCATAGTGTTCTTGTAAGAAGACAATACAAGACGCAGGGTTTTCTCTCACGCTACAAGAAATGAAGTTATCTGGCTAATAAAATGGTAAGGAACTTTAATTTCTCTTTAATAGCAGAGGGAGATCTTCCTATCAACATCACACATGAAATTAACTCCTATGCTATTAAAGAAAATTAGAGAAGCGAATATACACCTCTACTCCCACTATAACGCAACCCAATATAATACAGGTTCGCATATAGCGCGGTAGCAGCTGGGCTCCGGCGGCGCTTTAAAGGGTCCGGGGCTCCGGCTGCTGTGGGGAGCCCCGGGCCCTTTAAATCACCACTGGAGCCCTGCCGCTGCTACCCCGGGGCTGCGGCAGCGGGGCTCGGCCGGTGATTTAAAGGGCCTGGGGCTCCCCGCGGCCGGAGCCCCGGGCTCTTTAAATCACTGCTGGAGCCCTGCCGCCACTACCCTGATATAATGGGGTTTCACCTATAACGCGGTAGGGATTTTTGGCTCCCCACGACCGCGTTATAGCAGGGTAGAGGTGTAATTTAAGCCAGGGGTTCTCAAACTGGGGGTCAGGACCTCTCAGGGGGTCGCGAGGTTATTAAATGGGGGGTCGTGAGCTGTCAGCCTCCACCCCAAACCCCGCTTTGCCTCCAGCATTTATAATGGTGTTAAATATATAAAAACATATTTTAATTTATAAGGGGGGATTGCACTCAGAGGCTTTCTATGTGAAAGGGGTCACCAGGCCAAAAGTTTGAAAACCACTGTTTTAAGAAGTGAAAAGCCTACATTTGTTTGCATTACCAAGCCTTAAAATGGACACATTTCCCAATCAGCAAACTTTTTACACAAAGCCTTCTTCCCCTCTTCCCACATCTCTCAAAAACGATTGATGCGGTTTCTTTCTCAGCTCAAGAATTGCAGCCTCTCCAAATTATCCTATTTGGAAACTTTTCTTTGCTATCCAGAACAGAGTTTTAAAAAGCATGTGTTGCAGTTTCTGTATTTTCCATCTGTTTCAGAAAGACTTGTTGTTACAACACAAGGAGGAGGAAATAACCACCTCTTGTTTATGTCATTACCACCACCCCTAACTTTCTAATCTGTTCACATAAGAAGTGCACAATTCAGAGTGCAGCACAGAATTTGACATTCTTTTACCTACACAGTTCAAGTCTATATTTAAAGACTAAACAAATAGTGAGCTCACACTATCTTGTTTACCGTGTTCACCTTCAGAGAATTTGTATCATGTGCATAAGCAACATGTATTTACTTTCCACTCATTCTTAAGTAACATTGTTTGCACTTCCATTACTCAGGTTTATCAGTTAAAAATGGCGTTGGAAGTTATTTCTGATGTTACTTATTTTTTGTCCACAGCGGAGTTTGCTTTTTCCTTTTGTAACCAAAGACGTCTCTTGCCTTGGAAGAAAGCAGTCAAGAATGTCAAGCTGTTAAGTTTTCCTGAAGAGGTTTCGTGTTTTGTTTTTTTAAAAGAGCAACATACAATAAATTGTAGTCTTCTGTGGTGAATGCCCCAGACAATAAAGGCATTCAGGAGATTATGAACTTGCCTTTTACATCCTTAGAATTCAACCCAGAGGACTCCCACTTTTGTGATGAGCTATCATACCCTGCAGTAGCAATGTTTACCACAGCTCCACTACCACAGAACATCAGATTGGAGCAGGCCAGTTGAAGTAGGGCTCTTTGAAATACTGCTTAGTTTTAAAAGCAGTGACCATTTTACAGACAAAGCTCTACAAGAGCCACACACTGCTATTTTACAAATTAACATTCTTACAGGCTGGATGAAGTCTGTTGGAAGTTTCATGGTGTAACAGCAATGTAACATTTGCTGGGGTATCAGTAGAAACTGAAGAGACTAGACTTTGGCAAGACATGGGGTGGACAGTGAGGAGGAGGGAGGAAAACTATATTTGGTATGAACGAGGGGCCTCTTCTACCTGCTTATTTGAAGCATCCAAGACAACCTACACATTTAGTTTTAAATGCACCTGCAAATAAACTTTAAAATCCTCTAACACAAAACAAACGCCATAGAGAAAAATGGAAAAGTATTTTAAGAAGGATTTTAAACTGTGCAGAATTCCTACCTGAAACTGAACTCTTGGGCACTGGATAAGAGAGAGGTTAGTACCAATTTTCCTTACAATACTTCGAGATGAACCATAAGACTTGCCTGACCAGAGCACCTGAAGAAAAAAAATTAGGTGAACTGTTATAGTATTTGTTAGATCATTTACCCAATAATTTTATTGTATCTTAATTGTATATTTTGCTCCATCCAGCAATATTTGTACTGTAAAATGTTTAAGTGTACGCATACCAAAATTACATATTCCCCTGCAGCATGGAAGACATGCTATGCACTCAAATTCATACTGGTCACCCACACTATTTTGAAAGTCATATTTTAACTTGCTTGCATCAGCACAAATAATTGATTTTAAGTATTTGCAGCATGTTCAGTGCTATTCAAAGACAGTCTTCTGCCCTAAGGAATTCACATTCTATGTGACAGACCTCAAGTCACAACACATTGAAATACTCAGAACAGAGCTATTTTTAATTTTTTAATTTTTTTTTTAAATAGATGAAGGATGTTAACTTGGGGAGGAAAAAGAATTTGAAGTAGGTCAAATACCTTGTTCCAAGACATGGACAAAACCAAAGTTTAATAATTATAAAAAACTCTAGAGTTATCCCTAGCTCTGTTTCCCAGCACATTCTCTTTCTTACCTTAGAATGAAAGCTCTTTGGGCCAGGGACTGCCTTTACTTGTGTATCATACAGCACAAGGCACACTGATGCTGCTAGGATCACTACCAACTAGCAGCAAGTGGCCAAGCAGATTGGCCAAGCAGTTGTGGGATTCCTTTAGAGTTTATGGAAAAAAAAATGGCAAGCAGGTGATGGGAAGGTAAGGAGAAGACTTCTAGGAAGAGAACAGGATGCTTCCAATCATGACAAGTCTCTCATCATACCTAGTGAACATGAAGGTGTGCATAGTATTTCAGCACATCTGTTCATTTGAACTGCTTTCTGCTGCAGTTTAATCAGGTTTCTTCCTTTTGTATTCTTCCATGGGGACTTTGCATTGGTTCGATTCAACAATATTCTATATTGTTAAAAAAAGAAGATGACCAGACCTTTTAAAATATTCCAAGGAGGTGGAATATTTTCAATTTATAGCAATAAAAGTCCCTATGTCCAAAACCACATGCAGGATTCTGAGCAAACAAGAAGTCACAAGTACAATAAAGCTTTCTGCTTCCCATCAGAGAGTGCAGCTCTGCTGCTCTTGCACATAGCACAGCCTTCAAAAAGAGAAACAGGGACAACAAGATTAGGATCACAGTAGTTTTGAGGTGCTTTGCTGGTGGCTTGGAAATTATGTCAGGAATAAGAATATGTTATGGGCTCCTGGAAGGAGGGAAAGGAGAGAAAGGTTACAATGAAACAGGAAATTTTATGGGGTGTGGAGGAGGGGCAAAGGGGAAAAGTATATGGTGTGGTTGACTGGCTGATTGACAGCATGTGCAAAACAAGATCAAGAATGGTCTCTATCACCATTGCCCCTCCCTTGAGATGGGGAAAGGTTTTGAGATAGGTGAAGCCAGAAGAGTACCACTTCTGCAGCTCTCAGACCTACTAGAATGGGAGAAAGGGATGTTACTGAACAGACTATAGATATGTCTACATGGCAGCAGTGAGTCTGAGCTCAGGACTACAGACTCAGGCTCATGCTACAGCACTAAAAAAAATCATGCAGATGTTCTGGCTCAGGCTTGCATTCTGAAACCCACCCACTTTCCTGGGCTTCAGAGCCTGAACGTCTCACATGGCTATTTTTAGCATCTCAGGACTTGTCTACATTGGCACTTTACAGTGCTGCAACTTTCTCGTTCATGGGTGTGAAAAAACACCCCCGAGCGCTGCAAGTTTCAGTGCTGTAAAGTGCCAGTGTAGACAGTGCACCAGCTATTCCCTTCGTGGGGGTGTTTTTTTTACCTCCGAGATCTCTCCCAGCGCTATGCCGCGACTACACAAGCCACGTTAAAGCGCAGCTACAATAGCGCTTTAACATTGCCAGTGAAGACATGCCCTTAGTAAGAGCCTGAGTCTGTAGTCCAGAGCTCAGACTCATTGCTGCAGGTATTTTTTTTTTTTTGACATGTAGACATACCCTCAAAGATCTGCTAAGTACCACTGTGTTTACAAGCATTTCAGGAATTAATTTGTGCACTCTGAATGGCAGGGTTACATTATAAGTTATATATTTTGTCATTAAAGCCAGCAGGAACACAACAGCCTGTTTTAACTTTTTATATAGCAACTATGATCATATACCTAAGCATTAAGTTTCATAACCTTATGTCAGTCAAGTTAGATTAATTAATGTAAGAATTATACCAACATGGCATAAAATTTTAAATGCAGTCCCATATGCTCTCAGTGTGAACTCTATATTTAAGTGGATTACATTTGAAATATTTGAACTCGATAGAATTTCAGTGAAGCTGAAACACTTACTGATTCCATGTTTAGTCCAACCTGTGCAAAAGCCATCCTAATTACACGTTTAATCCAGCAGATCATCTGGAGTGGCAAAAAGTCTTCACAAACTGGTATTTAAACCTTCCAAACCTCCCAGGCTGCTGAGGTTCCATAGTCCCTCTGAAATAAAAGGCAAACATTGTAAAAGGCTTTCTTGAAGTCCAATTCCAACGATGATCAGTAGAAATTGTCTCTGAATGCAGACTTTTTCAGCAACAACTGTTCCCAGTACTTTCACAATAGCCACTTTTTCTATATAGTTCTAGATTTTAAAAATTATATACATGTCACATTTAAGGTACCAAAACTGTTGTTGCAGAATGCAGTAACCGTTTCCATGGCTTTACTTCAGCAATAAGCAGGAGAAGGTCCTAAACATAATTATCTGATAGTTAGTAAGTGAGCAAGGGTCACTTGGGAACATCTGTAAACAGCGAATGACATTTTGGACACCGTCAGCTTAAAAATAACATCTGTCAAATCCCTTCCCTAGTAAGTGTTACAACTAAGATTACAGTAAATAGATTAGAGAAACAAGTATTTATCCTCACAATCTTGTTTACTGTGTTACTCTGTGTTGTTTTAAGTTTGCTTCAAAGACCAGAGTAGAAGAACAAAAGTCCAACCCAACCTCATTCTTTTATCACAGAAGTGTTTGTGCTGCCACTCAACAATAATTAGTTATCACTGTAGATTCAGGATCATTTTTGGCTTCATCTGACAGTTTATATGCAGAGTCTAAGTCACTGAATCATCCTGAACTGGAATATTGTAGTATGAACTATACATATTGATTTGTTGGAAGCTAGTAAAATTCCTTAGTCACCATCTAAAAAAAAAAAATGCTTAAGTAATGGGAAAGAAATGATATGCAGGAAATATGCTCAAGTCAGAGGATTAGAAGAGACCTGAGAATGCCTGCAAGCATCACAACAGTTAGGACTGCCAGTGTTTCCATTACAAACATGTTTTTTTCCCAACAGCTTACAACTCCAATGCCAAGTTTCCATATGGAGTTATTACCAAGAACTCAGCTCTAAAGATTTTTTTAAGGCGAGGTTAAAAAAGCTGGTTTGACTGAGTTCCTCACCACCACCACAAGTAGCTTAGATGTTTAAGTTTTTTTGCGCTTGGCAAGAGATTAAGTTTGATAGAACAATTATTCTACAGCAGAGCTATTTAGAGAAGTTGACTATTCATAATTCAGGGTGTAACCACTTCGGTTTTAAGCAATGTCTAGATCAGTGATACTCAGACCTCAGTGGTTCAGGAGCCAAATTAGCGATCAAAGTTACTCAAAAGAACCACAGTAGTGTGAATTCATTGTTTTATTTACTATTTTACATATTCATAATTATCACAGCAAAGTGACTGACCAAGTTTTATTAACCAATTGCCATTGATAAAATAACATAGTAAAAGCATGCTGATTAATAATTAAATCACAAACTGTTTTAATATCACATGTTACAAAGAGCCACAGGAGACACATTAAAGAGCCACTTGCAGCACTCAAGCCTCAGTCTGAGTATCACCAGTTTAGATACTTAATAAGGCATTCTAGGGTTGAGGGTACCAATTTCACATCATTTAATTCCTTGCTAAAGAAGGTCTTGATCTGGCTCTCTCAGAAGTTAATGCAAATTGTACCATTTACATCAACAGAATCAGAACCATTAAAGCATGAAAGTCTGTTTCAGATGTACTGCATGCTAGCATTGAGTATCCCTCTCTAGAACACTACATTAACCCAGAACAGACAGTCTTAATGTTTTCATAATCTCCAATTAAGATGTCATCTAAGACAAAATACTCAAAAAATATTTCACCTTGATGTTTTTATGAGATCCATTTGTTTTCTAAAGTTATCACAACCACCCTAAAGATATTTGTTTTACCTAGATTCTACTGCACTCGACCCTTCTTCATACCACTTATGAAGGGTCGTATGCAGTAGAATCACAACCCTTCCACAAACTACTTATATCCCAAGAATGCAAAGATTTAATCCTCAATGAAATTGCTAGACAGCAATAATGGAAATTCCTAGAATGTGTCTCACCTGTACTTTATGTAGCTGCCAAATTTCAGAAGGAGAAATTCAACATTTGTTCATTTTATCAACCCTAGCAAAAATCTTCATTTGAAATATCTTGCTGCTACTTAAAGTATTATCCTAAAGAACAAAAGTTACTTAGCACAGTTTTCTATCTTAACTTTTCTCTTGAAACTAAAGACATGGATAATATTTAATGCTGGCATACTTATCAGCATGCCCAAGTGACAGTCACCTCCTAAATGTAGGTTACAGTTTAGAAACTCCTGCTGCCAAGTGCCTAAGAAATAAAAGTAATACACTGAGAGTCTACTCAACTTACCCTTCATGAGAGGAGAAACTCAAGCAACCTGTTTTTGCAGACTTTGGGTGTTCATTTAAAGAGTTTCTAGCTTTTATGTTTGCAAAATAACCCTCTACGTATTAAGTTATCAAACAAAATGATTCAAGGACTGCTGCTGCTCATAGCTTTCTCAAGCAAATGAAGAGACTGGTCAGTCTGACAAAGGGCATTCACAACCTTGGGGACTGCAGATAAACTGACAAGAATCATGTCAATTTTTCCTTTATATTTACAGTAATTCAGAATACTGCAATACCACTGCTGTAAGATGCAGCACTTCGTTGGTAATTAATTCAGGTTGTGAACGCTATAAGCAGGTTGTCTCAGAGAAGGAAGACTCCTAACAGAACTGGGAGAGAATTAATGCAGATTAATATCCCACCCCAACTAAGTAAATTTGGAGGGAAAGAGTGAAATTCTCCCCCTCTTCCCCACAACAGCAGGAACTCCTCCTTTATAGACACCTGATTAGCCAGAAACTGACACAATGTTCAGTGACCCTACCCTGGAAGGAAATCCAGACACACTTCTACTCCCCAGGGAGTGCTGTATTTTTCACATGAGCCTTGCTATGCGCCGCTTCCCCCATTTTTCACATTTGCCTTTATATCAGACACTGATTTATAAGTTAGGGAAATCATACTGATTATTTAATAACAAGCTAGAGGAGTAAATCTAAAAGCACTTTTCAGATTCAAACAGAAAACAATGAACCATGGAGAAAAGTTATAATGAAACACTCAACCAAGCCTTACAGTGCTACACAGAAATGGAGAGAAGAAAAAAAATTAAAACAGACACCAACTTGACATAGACACATTTATGAAAAAAGTAGCTTCAAGTCTTTTATCTATCCGAGTCTCTGTCCACAGTTGTCATTTTCCACCTTTTAAAGTGAAATAGTCACATTTTCCTTCCTAAAAATGTCCCCCTCACACCCATTTATGTGAAAGCTATGCAGGCAACAGAAGAAACTGACTACATACAATCAATTTACTGTATTTGTATAAAGTGTTGTCAAATGCACAAATTAAACAAAATGAAAAAAAATAGAGGAAAACCTCTCTAATCCCTTATAGAGAACAGAGGTGTTACTTGAAGGTATAAGATTAAGAGAAATATGATCTTGAAGAAGGCAGTCTCCCTTTAAAGCAGACACCTTAAAAATCAGGTTAACCCACTTTAGCAGGAATGCATGTCTGCAGTTGTTAATGCATGTCTGCAGTTGTTAACAACATCTGATGAAATGACACCTATAAAAGCAAGTACACCTCTACCCCAATATAACGCGACCCGATATAACATGAATTCGGATATAATGCGGTAAAGCAGTGCTCCGGGGGGGCTGCCTACTCCGGCAGATCAAAGCAAGCTCAATATAATGCGGTTTCTCCTATAACACAGTAAGATTTTTTTGGCTCCCGAGGACAGCGTTATATCGGGGTAGAGGTGTATACCGAGGTCATGTCTACCTTGGGAACTATAGCAGCTTACCTACAGCACCGTAGCTATGCCACATAACCCCATAAGGCAGACACTGCCTACAGCACCAGATGGGGTTTTCCTGTTCCTGTAGGAACATCACCTCCCCAAGAGATGATAGCTAGATCAACAGAAGAATGCTTTAATGAACTTAGCTGTGTCTATACTAGGAGTTAGGTCTGCATAGCTACGGTGCTTGGGGGTATGGATTTTTCCGCACTCATGAGCACCGTAGCTACATTTACCTAAATCAGGGGTCGGCAACCTCTGGCACGCGGCTCGCCAGGGTAAGCACATTTGGCAGGTTTGGCCGATCGCTGCTCCCACTGGCTGCGGTTCGCCGTCCCAGGCCAATGGGGGTGGCAGGAAGCCACGGTCAGCACATCCCTCACCTGCGCCGCTTCCTTCAGCCCCCATTGGCCTGGGATGCCGAACCTGCTGACGCGGCAGGTAAACAAACTGGCCCAGCCCGCCAGGGTGCTTACCCTGGCGAGCCGTGCGCCAGAGGTTGCCGACCCCTGACCTAAATTTTAAGTGTAAACCAGGCCTGAGTGTCAAAGAAAGAACAATATTTCAGACAAAAAACTCACTGCAGCAGTAAACTAAAGAGCCATCAAGAATCTTTTAATGTAGGACCAGCTTGAAGACTATCCATTTCCCAAACTAGTGCAGACTAGATATTTATAAAGGGTCACATGACTGGTAGGCAGAGGTTGCACAGTCACTACTAGAATCTATTTATATCTGAGCACCAGAGTAACAGTCTTAGTGTTTATTTATACTCTAGTTTCCAGAGAGATTCCAACCAATAAAAACAAGTGCTACAATATATTTTAAACAGCAAGATATTTATGTTAAAGTTTTATAAAACAGAAGCATAACAGTCATGTTAGTGTACCTCAAAGTATAGAAGAATGACACGGTCATATTTTGCTAGCTACAAAGAGCAATTTAAAGAAAAACCCATATGAATTTAGAAGTTAGACCACTTGTCTTCAGAAGTATCTGCTCATCACAGATCTAAACTTTGCTATCTGATGTTGATAAAGAGGAGACTCCTCTTGCTTTTACACTCAAGTGCATCTGTTTTTTCCAAAGACAACAGAACTACAATTCAATTTCTGCAGTTAACTAATGCTCTATAAATTACCACCACACCATGTTGCGAGATCGTACAAAACATGCCACAATCATTTTCCACTTGCAATAACTTAGTCATTACTTTGAGATCTATATGAA